ATATCTCCAAAAGGCAGTAATGAAATTCATGAGTAGATAACTTTCTTTACTTAACAGAATTTGGTAGAATCTGCTGGTAGCATCCAATTTAGGAAAAAATAACTCCATTTAGTTTAGGCGAAATATCATCTAAATTTGGTAACATGTAATATTCCCTTTTCACTGCTAGATCCAGCTTCTTGAAATCTACACATTTCGGAGTTTTCCGGGGTTTTTTTTATGATTATTACGGGTACTATAGGTGTACACCAATCAATTGGTTCTGTAACCTTTTCAATAATTCCCTCGTTTTCCAGTCTATTCACTTCTTTCACCTTCGGCAAAATAGGAAATGGGATTCTCCTAGCTCTTGTTACACAGTAGCGTTATTTTCACTACGTCTCCGTTCATACACCCTCTGGCGTCAAATGAACTACCCTGTTCTATTTTATCTAAACGTTTCACTAAATTCATTTTTACAGATGTTTTTTCGAGAAAATAAGATCTCTCCCTTGACACATTCAATGACATATATCTGTCCTTACCTTCTTCTGTAATGGTATTAAATTTTCCAATGCGTTGGCCTATTTTCCTCCAGGATTTGTGAAAATGCTATTAAGTGGTCTTAATATAGGTTTTTCTCTCACATCTTCGTAAGTCTTGGTTGAAATAATGTTTATATCGGCACCTGTATTGTTGGAATTTAATTTGAGACCAATATTATACAAGTTCTCTCTATTTTTTCTATCCTCACTCCAACCTCTCTTTTTATTTTCAAAAACGGTTCCCAAAGCCTTGATTCTTATCAGAAATAAGAATATATTTTCTGACTAAGGAGATAGCTGGAAAATAAAAAGGAATTCCGCCACCATTATTTTTTCTATGGTGCCATAAAGTCTGGGGGAAACCTCACAGCTTGTTTACTCCAACCTGTTTTCATTACTTGCAAAACCAGCTCCCAAAGCATTGATTCTTATGAGAGATAAGAATGTGTCTTCTGACCAATGGAGGGGCCAGCAAATTTGTTTAACAATTTTGGAGGGAAAAGTCCCCGATTCTTCTGAGCCTCCCAAATCTCCATAAATTTGGAGAATCTTTGCCTATTTGGCAGTGAGAATTCAGCCCACCGTCTGTAAGGTCGACGATAGGGAGCTCCAATCAACTTCAGAACCACTTTCAAACGAAGAAGAAATTCCTGTTGGGCTGGAAAGACATTCCATTACTAAAAACCAATTTCATCACTTCACCACTCCTTCTGTTGTGCCCTCTGAACTTCTGTCGTCGACCTACGAACTCACTCAACTGCAAGATTCCTATATCTACCAACAATTTTCCTACTGTACAAGAACTGCGAGTGTTTCTAAACCATAACAAAATTCTACTCGCTTAAAGAACTTTTTAGACGCCCAGAGAAATATTTTGAGCAATCCTTTTTTCTGTTATAAACATTTTCTCTTCCTTTAAAGGACATTTTCTCTTCTCCCTTCCTTTCACTCATAATTGTCTTTTTATCCCTTTACTCCTTTTTTTTTATATATATGTAAATAAACACTTTCTTCTTTTATTGTTACACACCGAGCAGGAGTTTTATTCTTTATTCGTCCGCGCCTAAAAGAGAGAGTTTGTCCGCTCTAATCTTGCTGTTTTTACTCGCGTTTTTTCGCAATTTTTTAACTTCAGCTAAATTTTTTAACCTCTGCCATTTGATGCGGGAAAGCTGGGACAGATTTCCCAGCAGTATCGATTTTAAATTTCACCGTTATTTTACAATTTTAAAAATCTTTTTATACCTCGGATCATTTAAATTTGTTTCTGTCATCTCTCCAAGGAAATATTTCTTTTTTCATTTATTCTCAGCATCATTAGTTTTAGTTCTGAAGGCTAAAACGAAATGAATTCATTTTTCCCTATTTCTTACAGCATTTCCCTTTCGTTGGACAGTTTTTAAAATTATGCATTTTCTTACATCTACTACAATTGTTGTTGCCGTTTCCACATTTTCTTTCTGCGAATCCATTAGATTGTAGGTAGTAAGGTGGTGTTTTATACGGAACGTATCCAATACGCTTTAGCCACGAGAACAGACTTTCCTCGCAAAATTCTGGTGGGTTATTTGAGACTAAATTTTTAGGCACACCATTCCTTGAAACTATTGTTCTTAATATGTTTTATAGTGATAGCTTTTCTGCCAGCAACTTTAATTACTTCGGGCTATCCTGAAAATAAGTCCACTAAAATTATAAATAGGACCATTCCTTTAATATGGGCATGAATCATATGTACCTGAGCACATAGTTCTTTTTTCTTTAGGCCACGAGTTAATTTTGTTTTACCGAAAGTTATTTTTATTTTAGCACATTTTTAGGCATCTTTTTACATCTCGAGAATATCCAGACCATCACTCTTGTAATTTTAATTGTCCAAGATGTGACGTTTGTTAATTCCTTTCTGGGGAAACTTTAAATGATTGGGATCTGACTTTAACAAAAAACTTTTTTCTTAACAAAAAATTTGGAGCTCAAACGCTTCTTTCTCAATATTTGAGTAGTTAGCTTCAGCTGACGTTAAGGTTCTCGACAGGTACGTTATTGGATGACTTTCTCGAGATAAATTGCGTCTAAAGCATGATCACTTGCATCTGTAGTCAATGTCACTCCTTTTCTTAGATGAAAGATTTTTGCAATCGGTTTTCTTATTAGTGCCTTTTTTAAGCTTTCAAAAGCGCTATATTTTGCCTTCGTGTCCATTTAAATTCTGTATCCTTTATCCGCAATTTTGCAAATATTAAGGGGTCGCTGTGTATCTCGGTAGATATTTGCTATAAAAATTGGTGGATTCTAAAAAGGATTCTAATTCATTTTTTTTTTTTAGTTTTTGGTGTAGATACTTCCGATATCTAAATTTATCAGTTTATTGTATGGTAAAATTCCTTTTTTAGATATTTGGTATCTCAAATACGATATTTTGTTGCAATTTAACTCGCATTTATCGCTATTTATCGTCATACAAGCATTTTTTTAATGTGTTTAAAATTTGTACATTTTTTAAAATTCTTCTTTACTATAAACACTTATGGCTATATTGTTTGGATATAGAATTATATTTTTTACCCTCTCCGATATAACTTTTTTTAGTTGCCTTTTCAAAAAATATGTCTTGAACTCCAAATGCAAGACGAGTCTATCGTAGTAAGCCTATCGGTGTATTAATTATGACGGCTGAACAGGTAGAAGTGAACCAAGAAGACATTGGTTTCATTTGGTATTTCTTTGTTGACACGAAATCTTCGATATCAGCTTACACCAAGGAAGAAACCTTAGTGGCACAATTTTTAATAGGGTGATTAAAAATTTCAATCCAAGCAGCGTCGCGAAGAAAATCACGAAATGAGCCGTTGGTAAAGATTGTAGCAAAGAGTTTTGCCTTTTCTGATGAAGATGAAATGACTTCGATGCCATAGGGATTTTAACTTTATTCAGAATTTGGTTGGGAATCTTCCAGAACACCCGAGGTCCAAGTTGTTTGCTTTCGACCTTGGTCTGGGCTGTTTGTGCATAGTAGCTATTTGTTTGTGCATTTGTATTTTCTAAAACTCTTTTGCAATGATTCTGGATGCAGCAAGTGTCTTACTACACCGTCCCCTGTGATAGAAATTATAGTAGTGGTTACAGTGAGCTATGGCTAAAGCACATTCCGGGGTGCACCAGGGTTCGTTGTTTGTTTTTTGATGGCTTATATATATATATATATATATATATATATATAATGTACATTATCTAGAGTGCCTAACGCTCTAGATAATGTATATAAAAAAAAAATTATAAAAGTAAATAAGGGGGTCCAGTTTGCTTACAAATTCATTCTCCTACAGAATCCCAAACAAAAATATGTTCATACCACGTGATGTAAAAAAAAATTAATATAATCTAGAGTGATTAATCGATAGCATTATATAAAAAAAAGTACTTATTATTTTTTTAATTTTTAAGAAATCACATTGTATGAGCATATATGTTTTGCCTTCCATTTCCGGATGAATCAATTTACATAACAAACTAGACACGCCTATTAACATTTATAAAATTTTAAATATTTATTTTAGTTTAGTTTAGTTTTTATTTTATTCATTTTTCATATTCGTGACCTGGAGTACTTCATATGAAAAAATGATTTGTAGAAATTATTATTTCTGGTCGTACAATATTATACAACACCGCCCTTGATTGTTTCAACAATGCACAGATACTTCTGATGAAGATTCAACAACAAATTCATCGATTTAGATTTCATAGATTTACCTCAACTGCTTGCATTACTTCCAAATCCTGGCGATTAGATAAATGAATCGTTTGTTAGTGGTGGGATAGCTGTCAGTCAGTGCGATAGGAGCAGACAGTCAATGAGCCGACAGAAGCTTTCAATGGACTAATTATTCAATAACTTATTCACGTTATTGTTATTGTTGTTAAGGTTGCTAGGAGACTGGGTTTTTGTTGATAGTCGTTGAAAAGTAGAATGTGTTTGCGTTTTACAAGTAGTGAACGGAGTCGATGACAGAAAACATATCTCGCATAAACTGTTTCTGATTTCTGATATAATATTATATTATATAGTCTGGGGGATATTTACTGCAATTGGATGTTATTTCAAGGACAAAGCGGTGGACGTAAACGTTGTTTCTTTGTTTGACAAGGAATCGAAACATGGGCGTTGTCCTACAATTTGAATCGTTAAATTGAATAAGAAATAAAAGAATAAAGAAAATAAGAAAAGTAACAAGAAAAAAAGAAACAATCGCCGTAGAAAAGAAGACGCAACAGCAAAAGTCGGGGAAAAAAACACCCGAAAACAAAAGGAAAATCTCAATTCTTCTTCAAATTTCAATTTCATCCACTCTCGATTGTAAAGATCTAAGATTGAAGTAGTAACCTGCTGAGAACGCAAAAGACAAACTAGTTTTAATTGCTGTTTGTTTTGTTATTACGATAAAAATTACAATGGGAATTGCGAATTTGTTAGAGATGATTGTTAATGAATTCTGCCTGCCACTCACACTTGTTGTACGTCTCGACCCCATTATACACAAACCTCTTTTTGTTGGATCTTTCTTTATTGGTTTCATCTTAGGAATTTTGATTGCCCTACCTCTTATTATTCTTTATTCAAAGAACTGGTCAATAAAAGAGGTAAGAATAAATCTCTCTCTCTCTCTCTCTCTCTCTCTCTCTCTCTCTCTCTCTCTGTGTGCATTCGGCGGAGGAGGATCGTATTCAACAAAAAATCGAAAATTGCTTTTTTCCCTGCAAATTATTCATTATATCCTATCCAAGTATTTTACGAAAATTTAGAGCCGAGTATTACATAATATTTCAAACTCAATTTAGGTTTATACTAGTTCGTAACCATGCAATGAGATGAAGTAACATAAACGTAGATTTGTCTGCGGAATATTATTACATTATTGGTACATAATTATAATGAAATCATTAAGGTCAAAATCATTTTATTTTTGATCGTATATTAATTTAAAATATTCCTTTTTACAGGCTTTATTTTTAAAGTGGAATAAGATAATTCTAAATTTCAGAAAAAAGCGATCTAGAAACAAAAAGGAAAAGAGAGGGAACAATGCGTAAACGAAATAGTTCCAGTTTGTTCAACTTAGCAAATTTAGCATTGCAAAGTTCTAAAATGCGGTCAATAACAAAGGAGAAAATGAAAAATACATAACAACAAGTCTAATATAGCATCAGAATTTATATTGTTTTTATTTATTAGTTATGTAATTAATGTTTCATTAAAAACGACTGACAATGAACAGCGGTTAAGTTTTTATTTAATTTTTCTTATGTTATTATAATTTTCTTATTTTTTGGACATAAATTTTATAGAAATCGTCCAAATGTTTTGTATGTCCGAGTGCTTTCCACTCTACATTTAGCCAATATCAAGAATTATTTTATTTTTACTGAATATATGGATTGTTTTATGTATGTATTTAGAGTTATAGGAATGATTTATTTTCCAAACACGGTAGGCAAAATGAGATCTATGGCTAGAGAGATGTAACGTGAGTTTTCTTGTGAGGCATGTCCCCAAAGAAAAAGAAAAACTTAATCGCAGTATCTTGTCAGTTGTTTTTAATGAAATTTGTATAAAAGATCGATTGTTGACCAAATACACAATTATATATGTGTGTGTATGTGCCTGCGTAATTAGCGCCCAACATACGTATGTCGATACCACAAAATCTTAACTGAAAGTAACCAACAAACCATCTTTGTCCCTGAGATGGTTAAAATTATCCCTCCAATACGCATTAAAACTACAAGCTAACCCAACATACGAAAAAATATATAATCCTCATTATATTTAATCCTACAATAATAGACCAACAGCTATTTCCTCATTTAGATTTCGAAACAAAAGCCCTAAAATAAGTAAACAATAAATAAAATAGCTCCCTAAGTAATCTCTGAACATCACATAGGCCTAACACTGACACAACAGCAAAAACACAACCGAGAACTACATGAGTCGAACCATATATGGAGAATTGAGATATAAATACAGCGACTACAAAGCGTTCTATACAGATGGATAAAAAAATCCTGGACAGAAGAGGTGTTGCAGTCACCAACAGACAAGTCCACAAACAAATTAGACAAACCATAAAATGCCGCTTGAAATGATTAAAAATAAACTCAGAAGACAGAAAATGCGTAATATTCTGACTCCCTATCCAGTCTAATAGCAATTAAGAAAAAAATCCAAACCACTCTTACATACATAAAATATTAAAAACATGTCACTATTTGATAAAAACTCACAAAATAATAATCTTGGCTTGGCTTTCTAGCATCAAGTCAAATCAAAAAGCTGATGAACTGGCAAAGGAGTCAACGAAAATGATAATAACCAACATTAGACTCCCGTTTACAGATTACAAAAATCAGGTCACACAATACATTAAAAGAAAATGGCAAGCAATTTAGAATGCGTTTCCAAACATCAAACTGCATGAACGTCAGTTGACAATCAGATGGGAAAATAGAAAACCATTAGCTGATCGAAGACAGAACATAGTGATAATCACATCCTAATAGACACAAAAGAATACAAGAAAATGCACAACAAATAAAATACTATGATATACAAAACCTTTTCATGCTTTTCAAAAATGTATCGGTTTCTCAAATAACAGGCTACCTGAAAGAAGTAAGCTGCTTCCAGCACTAATAAAAGAAAGCACAATATATTTTATTATCCATAAATTATATATCTAAAAAACATACGTTTACCCTGAAAGTATAAAATTGCGTACAAAATATCTGTAGTTGAAGCCATAAAGTTGCATACAAAATATTTGGATTTCCGTATTTAGTGGCCCATGGAGTTTGTCATGCCGCAGAACAAAATGAACCAATCAACCATTTTGGCATTAATGACCCATAGTGGTTGATATGCTGGTAAAATAACCAATCAATATTGAGATTAATATTTTTTTAAAGTATTGATTTTTAATAAAAGTAATAAATTAAAGTTGATTTTCTTAGGCTCATTTAAAACAATTCATTTCGTTTCATGTGTCTGTAGTCAGCATATGAGCGCGAAAAATATATTCAATGGCGCTTCAACTTCCTTCGCTCTGTTGTTAACAGACGTGTGTCTTGGCGGAAATAAATTTAATGTGATACGTCATAAAAATAAAAAGTGAAACAAAAAGAAAAATAAAGATATGATTGAACTTAGAACAACATTTGCCTTTATTTTCTACACTAATTAAAGGGTTACTTGGAATTCACATGGGAAGATTTACAATTCAAATACTAGATTAAAAGTTTTATAATTTGATGGGATTACAATTAACATTTAAAATTACAGTTGTTATATCCTAAATAAAATTCAAATTCCGTCATGATTCATTACCCTTTTTGTCAGAATAGTCGATGGGCTGTAATAGAGGGTCGCCGTTTTTTGTTTTTTTTTTTGTTTTTTCCAATTGGAAGAAACCGCAGACAGTGAATACTTCTGTGATCCATGCACGAACATAAATATTACTTCTACAAGCGGGTAGTTCTTTTAGTGGACCCAATGTAGTCATTTTATGACAAATGACTACATTGTAGTCATTTTATGACAAATGACTACATTGGGTAATTACTCCTATCTCTTATTGACTGTCAAATAATACTAGGGTGTTGTCCCTATGAAGTCAGTCTTTCTTCTTCTGTTCTCTTTTCTTTCCCTCTTTATCTTACTCTACACGTGTATATAGGACAGTTAAAAGGTTACAGGTGGCTTAATGTAAATCACTCTATAAGTCCAAGTCATTCTTAGTTGCTTAATAAATATTCATAGGTACGAGATCTTTCTGGAACGTATCCAGCCATTTCGAATATATTGATATCGAGATTTGCGGCATTGATGTAAAATGTCAACTCATCAAATGAGGCGTGTTACTGTGCGAATAGACACTCTCCCGTAGAAGTACTCAACCGGCAATGGCATACTGTTGAATGAATTCGCGTGCTCTGTGAGTGCTGCATATACACTAACCGACGATGAGATTCAACGCATTTCGTGCGAGATTAAAAAGAAAAAAAAAAGCCTCACATCACCCAGGGTCTGTCAGCCACTTCCAGAAGTTGAAGGGAACCAAAATCTGGGCTATAGAAAAACTTCTGGCTTTCCCAACGTTAAAAATCGCCGTTGACGAGATTACGGCTGATGAGAGAGATGATAGTGATCCCGAAATGGGACTGTGAAGTCACATACCATGACATTTACATAGTTTTAACTTTTGGTAGGTCAGCGAGTGACTGCACTCACTATACACTGTCTTGCCAAAAATCAATGTCGGAAAATAGGTTCTTACATATTCAGCGAAAAGTTAAGATCCCGAAACATGGCTTTTCTCGTTGACATTCGAAAATGAAAAAAAGCTTTTTAAGCACGACTTTTCCTTAAATAATGCAGGCGCTGACGTAGTTGAAGACAGTACTAGTTTCAATAAATAAGCTATAAAATGTGTTTGTATGTTATAAGGTAAGCAAATCAGTTATACCACAAACGTAACTTTACAAATACTTGGCGCCTCGGAGTTGGATAGCCTGCTTGACGCCTCGGAGTTGGATAGCCTGCTTGACGATTACTACCTAGTAGTAAGTACAATCCTACTGGGTGCTCTATACTCGTAGCTTTGTGTCCAAACTAAGCAGTAAATAACATCATGACAAACAAAAAATATATATTCAAACTGTGAGAACAAAGCATAGATAAACGTTTGCATCAGTTTTATTTCATTGCACAATTAAAGTTATTTCTCTGGCCGGGCGTAATTTTTCCGTTGATTGTTCCGAAAACATTTGCATAAAAAATTATTGTTTATTCCTATCCAAAATATGCTGTATAAATTCTTTTATTCTTTTTTATATTTTTCAGAAGTATCTGAGGAGAGGGGGCGATATAGAATCTTATTTTCTGTGTTGTAAACAAATTAATATCAAGAAACGCATTGTCCTTCTTCCTGATAAAGCGGTAAGCTTTTATTTTATTTTGCTTGTTTTGTTTGTTTTTTCTTTTTATTTATTTATATATGTGATATTTTATACTGATGTATGTTTGCATTATGTTACGTTGAAATTACATTATAACATCAATAAATTATTTTTTACCTAAGTAAATTTGAATAAATGTGTGGTGAAAACAGTGGGTGTGACTAGCAAAAAACCAGGAACTTACCGATCAGTTTCAAAAGAGGTCGTGCATGATTTGTTAGCCGCAATAAAGAACAAAAAAAAATCTCCTAATGTAAACATAAAACGAGGCCCTCGTACAACTTTTCGTCGTCTGAACACATGAAACCCCGCATTGCATCTCTATTTTCACTCGTGTCGATGTGCACCAAAAACTAGGTAAGGCTTGTTGTAAGCTCACAAGGAAACGAAAGATGAAAATAAATTCCGTAGCGAGAAATGAGGACCCGAGCTCTGTTTCAAATATATTTAGGTTTATTCAGAGATTGATTTGTATACAGTTTGGATAGATAGGTAGGTGACACTTGGGACAACTTCTGACATGAATAGCTCTTCTCTTAAAACTCTCTGCTCATCTAATCATCACGCTGCGCGGCTGGCAACTATCATGGCCGGTATCGGAACTTAACGGGCGGTATGAAACTCAACTCAATCTCGACTATGATTGTTGATATAGATCTGTGATTGGAAATCCTCAATGTCCGGTTTTCTTGTCACTTATTCCCAAGTTTTCATCTATTTATTTATTCCTTTATTCCTTTTCGGTCAAGTGGGTGACCACTTTGAAGACCATATGTCACAGACTTATCGCTGGTCATAAACACGAAACACTTGAGAATTAGGTAAAATCTTAAGCCATCCACTTCTATATGAGTGTTCCATCATAGTGCCGCACTCAGAAGAAACCGCTGCTTTGAACTGATTCGCATATTGAATATTTATAACGTTTTTCAGTATAAAAAGAGAACGCTGAGCAATGAGGGACTATAGCAGTGGGACTGTTTATTTTATTTTTGGCCCCGTTTTGTTGTTGACTGGCCGCCATTTTGTTGGTGGGATTATTTGTTTTTCTATGGTTCTTTAGGCAGTACTAACCTTCACAGACTTGCCTGGTTGTTCGGTTTCTTCTTCTAAGTATCTAATCCCTTCAAGACATTGATGACCATGGCTCTCTGCAACGTCCTATATCTTATTTCTCTTGGTAACATTTCTCCCTTTGTTCTACCTTCCATTCACACAAGCTCATCGGGTAGGTGGCTCGCTACCATTCTCCATCTCTCCTTCCTTCAATATGCTCCGTAAGAGTTGTTTACAAGACCCCCTTCTTCATTCTGTTCACCTATCTTTTTCTGATTCTGAGTATAAGTGCCCTTCTTGTTACCATTTTCTTTAGAACTTCCTCGTTTCTTCTGTCCATGAAATTCTTAGTATCCTTCTATAGAGGCACATTTCTGTTTCCTCCAGGTTTTTCTTCGCCTGTGGGGAGATTATCGAACATTCATTGCCATATAAGAGGATGGATATCACATAGCAATCTAGTACCCTTTTCTTTACTTCTTACGAAATTTTTCTGTTTCTTCGGACTTCTTCAGCTTTTGGAATGCATCCTTCGCTAATCCAATTCGCGAATTTCGGTGTCGCATTTTCCATCATCTGTTAAAATACTTCCCAGATATTTAAACTTCTGTACTTGTTGGATGTTGAGATCTCCAATTCGTAGCTTGCATCTTGAATTTTTTCTCTTGCTGATGGCCATACTTTTTGTCGTCTTGCATTTGATGGTTATACATTTTCTCGTTTTTTCTGAAAGTTCTGTAGTTTTCTTCTTGTGTCTGCCATCAACACCGTGACACCTGCGTATCTTGTTAAGATAACGCCCACAGATAATAAATTATGGTAAGATCTGTATCTCCCTAAGGAGAGCCTCACTGTAGAGGCTGAATGGAGTCTGGGAAGAATATCCTTGTCGTACACCCTTTCTATTTTTGTGTAGCTACTCAATTTATTTTCTATCCATCTGTAGGTGGTTTGCTCACCGTAGAAGTTCGGGATTATTCAAACATCCTTTCCAAATAGATCAAGTTTTCCTACCCAGTTCAAATAGATCTTGTGCCGTCCCTTGTCAAATATTTTTGCTTAACCTATAGAACACTCTTCTGAATTTTTATTGCTCTCTCTCTCTCTCTCTCTCTCTCTCTCTCTCTCTCTCTCTCTCTCTCTCTCTCTGATACATTATAAATATCACATTTCTTTACTTGTAGATGATCACCCCCGCTCACCTGGGTATGTTTTGGGCAGTTCTCCAATATATCCGTTCATTCTCTGAAGTATTTTTCTTTCTCTAATATCAGCGTTCCGTTCTTGAATTTTATGCATTCAGTTAGTTCTCTTACAAAACCAAATTGAATTTATGAGTTATCATATTTCCAGGTAAAGCCAGTGCGCATTCTTTTTGCGGGCAATATTTCGGTTTCATTTACATCACTGTCATCTGCTTCAGAATTACTTGTGTGTTCAGGAACAACATGCCTCGGTTGGATAAACAGTTCCATTAGGCCTCGTTTTGCCATCTTTAAATTTGGGATCAAAATAATGAATATAAATTTCATTAATCTTAATTTATGATATTAGGATGAAAGTGGAAATGCGTATTTATTGAGAAATAGCTATTCTTTATTTTAATTAATTTTATGTGGAGAAATACAATTGATACTAATACAAATAATTTATACAATATATGAAAACATTTATTAGCTATTAGAACATTTAAAACGACTTTGTTAAATATTTCACCATTAAGTATTCATTTGACCAGGATAAAGTATTTTGCTTATTGGAAATATTAAATTTAATCTATTAGCTTGAAATTAAAACTTTCATTTTAAAACATTAGATATCGCGAATCTGTGGATGTACCTACATTTATTGCATTTTTTATTTTAGAAATTTTTTCAGAAATTTTTGGTTACTGGGGGTCCTGTTTTAGAAAAGAAAATTGATGATTTAAATTTTCCATGGCGTTCTGCTTTTAATTAATATAAACATTAAGCATGTTGCATTACTAGGCCTGGTGATAATAACAGGCGGCGAGATTTTGAATTACCATCTTCTGACAATAATTACAGAGTGGGGAGGTGACTTTTCATAGCGAAAAAACATACTTTTCGCTCCTGCCGACACATATATACCTTAACTACAGATACTAGAGGTTGCTTTGAGCTTTTCACATTTAATTTCATTTTTTATTTTTCCTTTTGTGAAATGTTCTATCAATATATTTGTTAATATTTATTTGTTTAAATTCTATGTCAACTCACACTCAGATTGTTTGCGGATCAAATGTACCAGAAGAGCATAAAAAATTTAATTCAAAGTCTTAATACCCGCAACAAGCGCTACAAAAATTAATTTCTCAAAATTTCATAAAATTAAATAAATCGGGGATGTAAAATATTTTTACCAAGACAAAAGAAAAAAAATGGATATACGGAAAGCAGAGTTTTCACTACAGACCATAAACCATTATGCATTATATATCCATTAATATATATGCATTACATACACATACTGACAAATACAATCCACGGGAATGGATATGGAAAAAAGACATTTCTAAAATAAATTAATTCGTTTGTTAATAAGTCCTGAAAGTTTCATTAAAATTCGACAATTATTTGATTGTTGCAAGAATTTCCAAAATCAATGTGTTTTTCACCCACAAGAAGACGTTAAAATTTCCTATACTAATTTTTGGTCTCCCGCTAACGTAAGAAAAACAAAAAATTAAACCAACGTTTCGAACGTTCTGAAAAGGATTTAAAAAATATAATTTAATAATAAAAATCCTTTGGTATTTCTTCTTAATAATAACAAAGATTTTAACGATAAAACTGTTTTTATTAACTTTGGGGTATTTTTTTCATCATGATATGCTCATCTGTAAGCGAATCCGTGGAGGTACCTACTTTTTATATAAAGATTATTTTATTCAGATTTAAACTCTAGGTAGAAAAATAAATTCTGGTTAGCACCCTAAAAAGAAAAAAAACAATTTTATGCTGAAAAGATGTCAAAGTTTTTAAAGAAAGGTTTTCCTTCAGTTTGTGAAATCTGAGAGAAGTCTTCTCTAAGATTATGAAATCAAAATGTGACAATCCCAATATCCAATTTTTTTTTTTTATTGCTCTTTAATTTTTTATGGCATTATATTTCTACCTATCATTTATATCTTTATTCTGTCTTTCACTATCATCTCATTCTTTTTCTCACTTCTATGTAAAAATCAAAATCAAATGACTGGTGTCAAAGTATGGACTTCTCACAAGTTGTGAAAACTTTGGTCTCAAGCTTTTCCAGTTGAACACAAAAATCCATAGAAATTGTTTTTTATTGCTGTAAAAAGGTAAAATTAAAGGGACAAATGTGAAATTCAAAGAGAATTTATTTACCAAATTTGTTGTTAACCAGCTTTCTTAGTTATTTTCTCTTGTATTTTAATTTGCAGTTTTAATTTCTTTTTTACAAAATATTTTTATTAGAATTTTCTTAATTTTTTTTGTAACAATGGCAAAAGAAAAATTATCGTATGAAATTTCTGTTAAAATTTTAGTTTTAAAGAAATTTTTGCTTATTGGAAGTATTAGATTTAATATAATCGATGAGCTTGAAATTAAAACTAAAATAAAAGCTTCAATAATAATGTTTCATTTTTAAAATGCATTTTAAACCTTAAAGGTCCTTTTTTAGATAGAGATGAATGATGATGATGATGATCATCATCATCATCATCATCATCATCACTGTTATTTTTCCATAATTTCAGGGGAGACTTTCTGTCATCAATAATGTTCTACTTGCGGAAAATAAAATTATTTGTGCTGGCAAAGAGATGAGCACAACAAGAATGTATTTTCTATTTTTAGCATCTCAAATAAATATCACATCATTGTAAGAGACCAAAGTCTCTTGGTTAAAAAAATGATTGCTATTTCACTTCTTTATCGATGTGATGAATTTTCTATTTTACTTCACCATTTAAAGGTATCTTTTTCTCTATTGCTCCTTTTCGTCTTTCTGTTGTTTTTTGTTTGTTTGTTTTTCTTTAGTTTATTTGTTGACTCGTTTCACAATATTTCTTCTTTCTTGGAGTTTTTACTTTTTGTGCTTATTTATCATTATTTATCTTTTCTCTTTTTACATATTTATTTTTTAGAATTCTTGGGCTTTTCAGCAAACGAAAAGAATACAAAAATGTCAAATGAGTGTCACAGAGAAAAGCGAAACCATCAACCGCATAAGGAATAATCGAGGCATGGTGGACGTTTTGATGCAGAAAAACAGGTATACATATTCCACTTGAAATTAAATGCTTGTATGGAATTAACACATTAATTCCATCTACATTTTACGCGCGCGCGAGTTTTCCTCCCTTCCTTTCACACTCGTGCGTGTGTGCGTGCGGTTTGCACCCCTTCCTCCCTCTTACAGTTAGACGTAGCAGTAAACTTCCTTTAACTAGTGAGGTAGTGAGGAAGCTCGCTAGCTCCTACTGATGAAGTCAGCCTAACAGATTTTGAATTTTTTCCCGCGCGTTTCTCGGCGTCTCAAACGAACAGCGTTTGCAAGCCAGTTGCCTCCCGACTTTCGACCTAACTAGACAGGCAACTCATTTATTCCGTGCCCTTAACCCATATGCGGGCCGGAATATCTTATTTCAACAATGTCGACCTCACACTGTACCAAGATTTCTTCTCGTCTTGAAGCTGCACGCAGGTCAGACCTTCTCCGTTTTCGACCAGAAGACGTTCGAGACACACGACACAGTCGTGAGCAAAACTTCGTATCCCTCGTCAGTCAATCTTAAATACAGACAGGGATATCTTACTGACGAACAAACTTGCTACCGCAGGTCAGACCTTCTCCGCTTTCTGATAGAAAATGTGCGAGACACACGACACAGTCGTGGGCAAAAATTTCGTATTCAACAAGTGACTTATTTTATCCCTCGTCAGTCAACCTTAAATACAGACAGGGATATCTTACTGACGAACAGATATTCTTCGTCCCTTCTGGACTCGCCATAATAACTTCACATAGACGATGCAACCAACTGCAAATAACTCTTCGTCCTTTTGGCTAGACGTCCACAGCAATCCGTTAAAATTTTCAACAGTTAATTCAAGGCCTGACCAAACTCTGAGACGACTGAACTTTCTCTCTACTTTGAACATGAACATAAAAAAAGATTAAAAAAAAAAAACACAAAAATCACATACACTCTCAACGCCAAAAAAATCCACAGTGAGTATTCCTTTCTATCTGTGCGCACCTACACCTATGTTAACGAGTTCCTTTTTCCAGAACCTTATAAAACCCTTTTTCCCGCATTGTTCATCTTGCTTTCCAATTTTGGCGCGGAATATTTTCTCTGATCTCGTACCATGAGATACCTACTTGTTTTTTTTTTCCATTTAATAAAAAATTACACATGTTTTGCATCCAGACGCCTTTGTCATTTTATTCCGGCTATCTCTTTGATGTTTATAATTTATGCACTTGTTGATTGACCCCTTTCCTCTCACTGTTCATTCACGCATTTTTTTTAAACATTGTTTGTGGACTCGGTAGTTTAGTGTAGTGTCTAGCACAAGGCCACTTTTAATAAACCAGCACTGCACCCTATCGGGTCTGCAACATTTGAAAACGCCAAAATTTGAGTCAATATCTTTAAATGAGCCCAATTCATAACATTTGTCCGAAAACAGGCTTCACTGTCACTGTTAAAAATTTGTTCACTTTGTAGGAATCCTTCTACTCGGCTTTTCGTTGAATGTTAAAATTCGGAGTGTCGGGATTCGATACAATAACATAAAATATTATTGCGGGGTTGCTCGTAATTCGGCCGTTTAGAATAATCACACGATTTTCATTGAAAGAATAAAATTCAGTTGAAAAGACAAGAATACAAGCAGTTGGTCATAGATTGTCTTAATGTTTGGGTTAATAAAGTTCTGAAATAAAATATAAATTGTTTTTGTGTAGGTATGTAAGAAACAGTGAAATGTTGTTATAAGTGTGTTTGTGTGAACAAGTCAACGTGTGTATGCGTGGTTCATAGTAAAGAGGATACAAGAGATAGTTAGAAATTGTTTCTTACTGCTGGCGATATTGCCATAGTCTTAAACGGTCTCTTTGAAGTTTGTCAGCGCTGTCGCTTTTAGCATGAGGTCGTGAAGAATATAAGCGAGAGTGGCGTGTACCTTGGTGACAGCTGTGCGTATCCTGTTTGGTCAGGATTTCGGATGTTTTATACACTTTCTCGTAAGAAAATCGGCTCCAAAATTAAATTATTTATTTACTTTCTAATTGGCCCAAATAAACTACGTGGTATGCATTCCACTGCGTCCAGCACGATATTTGGGTGGTATCTACCTAAATCATGATGACTAATAAAACAACATTTCTGATTTGTATTCTATGATTTTATTGGTATGTTTTAAGATGTAAGTATTTTATTGAGTGATTGGCTTATGAATATTGTATTTGATATTTTAGTGGACACAACAAAGTCCCCCTCCAAATTATTAGAAATTTATTTCTAATGATATGTAAGAAACAATAATCTAATATATCAGGTGTGAAGGGTAATGTTGACATTCGGTGTTTCAATTCCTGTACAGACGTTATTGTTCGTAAAATGTTTGTGTTGTCATCACAGTATTGATCAATGATGTACCGAAAACCATTTCAGCTGGTGTACCATGCAAATCTTTTACAATATTTCTGATTGATAAAAGTACCATTTAGCCATTTAGTTTTGTTTTGTCTCATCGCTAGAGCTGCCTTCAACTGTCTGTGGAAACGTTCTACCATCCCATTTGCACAAGGATTGATAGGCTGTAGTTTTTATGTGTCGTGTTCCGAGTAAGTGATTGAACTCTCTAAATAATGTAGACTGGAACTGAGTTCCTCTGTCTGTTGTGAGTACTGAAGTTACTCCAGATATTGCGATCCATTCAGTAAAGATAGTTTTGGCTATTGTTGCTGTGATATCTTTGATTGCTATTACAGCAGGCCATCGAGTAAACCTATTTATGATAGTAAGGATATATGTATATCCTTAAGAACAAGGTAAGAGTTCTACAATATCAACGTGTGTATGTTCGTGAAGCTTGCATCAGGTGTGCTGAATGTGCCTGCGGGTGATTTGGTGTGCTTATCTATCTTGTTCTTCTGGCATGATAAACAAAATTTTGTCCAATTTATTACGTAGGTTGACACAGAAGGAAACGTTTAGAGAAAATGTTCAGTAATTAACTTAACAGTTGCACGTTTTCCTGGGAGAGACGATTTATGGAAGTGTTGGGATATTTGCTGTCTAAAATTTGATGGTATGTAAGGTCGTGACTGAGTTTGTGAAATGTCACAATAAAATTTTGTATCACTGAATGGAACAGGTAGTTCAACTAATTTTGGTTATGTGCTTTCTTATAGTGAAGTGTATGTGGTTTGTTCTTTAGCAATTAATTCAAGCTTCAAAAAACTAGAATCTAATTGTGGCATGTGATAGTGCATCTGCCACTATATTTTCATGACCTGTCACATATCTAATATCTGAAGAGAATTGGGAAATGTAATCCAGGTGTCTGATTTCCCGTGGATTATATTTGTCAGTATGCTTTTGTAATGCATATATTAATGGTTTATGGTCTGTATATATGGTGAAAACTCTGATCTCCAGGAGGTGTTGAAAATATTTGATGGAAAGATATATTGCTAATAGCTTTCTAGAAAATGTTCTGTATTTAGTTTGTGCCTTATTTAGTTAAGCGGAGAAGAACGATAGAGTTCTGATTTGTTTTTCCAAGATTTGGTGTGTAACCGCACACACAGCAGTTGATGAAGCATCTGTTGTGAGGGTAAGTTTAATTTCCTCGCTATCCTTGATGTAATTTAGCTTAGTAAAGTTACTTAAAGCTGGTTTTGGAGTTGTTGAATGATTCTAGAATATCTTTCTTTAACGTTATCTTTTTGTTCTTGGTCTTGAGTAGATTCGTCAAAGGTAAACCTCTAAATAATTCGTCGATTAGTCTATGGAAAGTCTGAGTGGCATTATGTAACCCAAAATGCATTCTCACGAACTCATATAATCCGAACGGTGTCGTCAGAGAAGTTTTGTGAATGTTTTCTGCAACTGGTACTTAATAATATGCCTTCATCAGGTCTAGCTTCGAGTAAATGCCAGCTCCTTGGTGACCCATTGCCAAATCGTGTATATGTGGAATTGGATATCTGTCAGGAATGCTTTTGGCGTTCAATCTACGGAAACCGCCACATGGACGCCTTGCTGTCGTGTTGGATTTTTGGACCATGTGCAATGGTGATGATCATGCGCTCTTGGATGGACGTATGATACACAACTGTAGCATTTGCTAGAACTCTGCCTTGACTATTTTATATTTGTCAGGTTTTAATCGTCTCGGTTACCCTGTTGTTTTTATGTAGCATTTGCCATTCTGTCCGTATTTTTAAAAGATTGAGTGATTTTTGTATTATCCCTTAATACCGTTAGCATGTGGTAGGATAGAACTAATTCCAGTTGACTGGTATCGGGAGAAAATTCCTCTCACAGAAAACTCTGTCAGATTGTCAACAAGGGAATGAGTGTTCATGTTGACCGATAAATTAAATTTCGCTCGAAAATCTGCATCTAATATTGGTGTCGTAACGTTAGCATGGGTGAAAACACACAGAAAATTTCGCCGCATACCCAGGTCAATGGACACTGCTTTCTCATCAATTTTTGTTTCCGTTAGCAGCTTGAAGTTTGTAAAATCCTAGTTTTGAATTTTGTTTTGGATCCGGTGGTAAAACACTCACTTCGGCTCCGGTGTCTACTAAAAATTATATCCGTAATTTCTATCAAGGATATAGAACAGACGACACTTTTTTGAGATTCCAGCAACCCTAACCCGTCTCTACTGGCTGAAATTTAAGTTTTCCGATGCCGTGTTTGCAAAGACACAAGGTTTCAAACAGCGTCTTGCCACTGCACCAAATTTATAATGATAGTAGCAGATGTCGAATTTTCGTCTTCCTCTATCATTGCTGAAACTCCTGCTGTTACTCCTTCGTCTGGTAGTTGTAGGTTCAAGATGAACTGCATCTGTTTGGCTAAACTTGCAACCGTTGCTTGCAGTTGCTCAAATTGCTCGTTTTGTTGTTGCTTCGTAGGTTGCGTTGTCAATGCGTTCACTTCCCTGTCTCTGAAACCAACGTGGATCCGATCAGCAGAATCCGCAACTTTTCCCAATTCTGTTTCCTCTGCCATGGTTGCTAAA